CAACAACACAACAACACAACAACACAACAACACAACAACACAACAACACAACAACACAACAACACAACAACACAACAACACAACAACACACCAACACAACAACACAACAACACAACAACACAACAACACAACAACACAACAACGCAACAACACAACAACACAACAACACAACAACACACACACACAACAACACACACACACACAACAACACACACACAACAACACACACACAACAACACACACACACACAACAACACACACACAACAACACACACACACAACAACACACACACACACAACAACACACACACAACACACACACACAACAACACACACACACAACAACACACACACTCACAACAACACACACACACACAACAACACACACACACAACAACACACACACACACACAACAACACACACACACACCACACACACCACACACACCACACACACCACACACACACACCACACACACCACACACACCACACACACCACACACACACACACGCACACCCCGCCCTCATCCTACCCCTCCCTCTCTTCCCCCCTTTCTTCTTTCCCATCCTTTCTTCTCCTCATCCTCCTCCTCGTTCTTCTCCTTTCCCTGGGGTCACAAAGCTCTGCTCCTCCTCTCCCTCCTGCTCCTCCCTCCCTCCTGGCGGAACGTCGAAAAGGGGTAAACAAAGATTTAGCGGCCCCAGACCGAGCCGCACGATTCTTCCAAGTGGCCCTTAGACAGCTTGAAGGGTTTGGATGCTACTGATCTCCCTCCTCATGTTCATCCTCCCCCTACCCCTTCCCTCCCTTCCCTCCGCCCGCCTGAACCCCTCAGAACGTCCTCCAGAACGACCCAACACTCCCAAACTTCTCGGAGCCACTTCTTTCCCCCTCCTCCTCCCCGGCACCCGATGTCGTCAGAGAGTCACGACGTCGTGGAACGAATCACGACCCGAGCTCCCGACCCCACCTCAGCGCGGGATGTATCGAGCCAGACCTGTCCGTCCGAATCGGGTCAGAGAGGCCGGCATGACGTTCTCACGGCGCCCTGTCTCAGTACATCTTGGAAGGTCGGAGGTCTCTGGAGATCTCCCGGCGGCCCTCGGAAGCCCAAAATAGCCAGAAAAGTTTGACAATATGTCAATCATCGATCCTCGATCCTCCTCCTCCTCCTCCTCGATCCTCGATTCTATTCTTCCTCCTCCTCCTCCTCCTCGATCCTCGATCCTCGATCCTCGATCCTCGATTCTCCTCCTCCTCCTCCTCCTCCTCCTCCCTCCCATGCAGTGGGGGCCCGACCACAAGAAACCTGCCACAAGAAGCCCAACCCTGAGACCCCAGGGCGTCCACTGACTTTCGGTGTGGGAGCGTCACGCTCTCCATAGCGAAACCATCAAAGCCCAAGAAACCCAGGAGACCCTGGAGGCAAGCAGGGTGTTTGTTGGCATGGGCCCCCACTGTAGGGGAACGAACAATGGCATAGACGTAACAACTCGGAGGTCCGCGCGGATTTCTCGGATCGGCGCTGGACCCCCCTCCCTGGCGCGCGGAGCGCGCCAGGGGCGGCGCCAGAGGCGCCGCCAAGGGGGTTCAGCTCAGATGCGGATCCCAGAAATCCGCGCGGACCTCCGAGTTCTTATGTTTATGTCATTGTTCGTTCCCGTATCTCTCACTCCACCTCCCACACTCATCCTCTTTGCGCAGGGACCGACCGTCCCGGCATCCCTAGAGGCCTACCACGAAATAATTGCTCAGAACGAACGAAGGTTCGTAAGGACAAAAAGGCGTTCTTGGACCACGAAGCCGACGCATTTAAACAGGACAGCCTCAGTCCGAAATCCGCCGCCCATGTCGGCGTGTGCGAGGGGTTTGTCTGTTCGAGTCGTCGTCTTCGTCAGTCGTCGTCTGCGTCGTCCCCTTTCCCTGCGCCCTCCTCAAGCCTGTCAGCGAGAGAAGAACCTCGCAATGTCGTAATCGAGTCGAAGGGAAGCCCCTTCCCTTTGATCCCTCCCCCGTCGTTCGGGGGGGGGTCCCGGGGGGGGGGAGGTCAGATGCGCGTCCCCCTCCCTGGGGAGCCCCGCGGCTGCAGAGTACCAAAACAAGCCAAGAGTGCCCCAAGAGGCCCCCGAGACGATCCAAGAGGGCCCCCAATCGCCAAACGATCGGTCCAAAACGCCTTCACGCTCCCAGACTGCCCAGGAGACCTCCAAGACGCCCCAAGAGGCCTCCAAAGGCACTCCCGAGAGGGCCACAAGAGCCCACAAGAGGCCCCCAGGTCACCCGAAAAGGCCCCCAAGAGGGCCCCGAGAGGCTCCCAAGAGACCCCAAAATTCCTCCCCAGAGGCCCCCCGAGAGCCTTCCCAAGAGACCCCAAGAAGCATCCCTGTGGACTCGGGCCCACGTCAGCGTCGTCGTCGCCGCCGCCACCACCGCCGTCGTCGTCGACGTCCCCCTTCAGGGTCGGCGGCACCAGCCGTAAGGCCTTCGCAACACCATGGGAAGGTTCTTGGAGTTTTCTTTGGCAGGCCTGGCAAGCCAAGACGCTTCGCCACTGCTGTACCCCTCTCCGCTTCACTTCCGACCTCCGCCTCCTCCTGTCCACCTCCGCCCCCCGCCACCGCCCATTCTCTCCCTCCCTCCTTCCGCTCCTCCCGCCACCCTCTGGTATCCACTCTTCTCCTCTTCCCTCCACTCGTTTCCGGTCCGTCTCGCTCCCTCTCACTCTCTGAATAAGTTCTCTCTGTCTCTCTTCATGTATGTTTCCATTATCTCTTTCTCTCCTTTTCTCTTTCCCTCTTTCTCTCCTTCTCCCCCTCTCCCCTTCTCTCTTCCTCTCCTTCTCTCTTGTGTTGTTTCTTTCTCTCTCTCTCTCTCTCTGCGTCTCTGTCTGTCTCTCTCTCTCTCTCCCTCTCTCTCCAACCGGGCTAAGCCCGGGACATTGCACCCCGCCGGGTCTCAGAAAAGTGCCGTGCATGTTGGTCGCGTCCTTCGTGCCGGCCAAGCTCGACTCAGGCCAGGCGGCCGCCTGGCTGGCATTCAGGGTCGAGGCTAGGCTGGCAGGCTTCTTGCCCTCCTCCACCTTCCCATCCCTACAGGCGGCAAACTTTCCAAAAGAAGTCCCAGAGCTGCCGGCAACATGAACATTATAACCACCTCATGCCTTTCAGAAGTTTTGCGTGCAACAATGGTTCGCCTTCGGAGGCCGCAAGACGCCGAACCCCCCCCAGCGGACACCGTCCTCCTTCTCCTCCTCCTCATCATCATCAACAACATCATCAACATAATCATCATCAGCAGCATCATCATCAGCATCATCATCATAATCCTCCTCCCTCCCTCCCTCCTCCCTCTCCACCCCCCTTGCCGTCATACTCCGCCTTTGATTCGCCCTTGTCTTACTACCCCATCCCTCATCCCTCTGCCATGCTCGACCTTCCTTCCTTCCTTCCTTTCTACCTTCCTTCCTTCCTTCCTCTCCGTGCTCCGCCCCGCAGACCTGGGCCCTCCCTGGAGCGCTGGGCGCGCGCGGAAGGAAGTACAGATAAGGGGAAGAATCGCCTGGGGGGCATGCCGAGGAGAGGGTCCGCCGTCTGTGCTCTCTGCTGCTCTGTCCAAACCCGATTGGTTTTCGCTCGATTGGTTTTCGCTTGAACGGATTACCTTTTCGCTCGAACGAGCGTCGTTTCGCTTAAACGATCCACCCTCCCAACGATCAGCCCAGGACGCCTGGGACCCCCCCCCCTGCGGGCCAACACTCCTGCAGGGGAGGCCAGGGCATCTGCTGCCACCCGTGGCCTGCCTGCGGCAACCCCCCGGGCACGATGTGAACAAGCAGGAGCAGGATCGGCTGCACGCCAGAGTGACCCTAGGCAAGAGGGGCCTTTGCGGCGCGGTCTAAAGGGTCGCGAGGGGGCCGAATCAGCGCACAGGCCGCTGCTACTGCATCGCGCTCAACGATCGGGCGGACCCCGATGAGCCCGCACCGAAGGTCACTCTGGCCAAGGGTCACTCTTACGTGGAATCGGCAGGACCAGCACCGTGAGGGCGAGAACGGCCAACCCCGACCTGCAGCCGTCCTGGAACTGCGCGCCAATTTTTCCAGCCGATCGGTACTCCAGATTTCGTAATAACAGGGAGGGGGTCTCATTTCGGGGGGGGTCTCTTCCAGGCTATCTTGGAGGGCCTGGGGGGTCTGGGGACGATGTTCTGGAGGGTTCTCCCACGGGGGGGGTCTAAAACTTCTCGTCTGGGAGGGTCCAGACCACCTCCCTTGTATTACGAAATCTGGAGTATGCTGGCAGGCCCTCGCACGCTAGGCGCGCCCCTTCGTTCGGGTGCTCCCCCCCCCTCTCTCTCCCCCCCCCACGGGCTCCCCACGGCGGGCTGAAGGCTCGGCGGGCTGTGGTGTGCGGGGGGGGGGGGCTCCCGAGATCAGGGAAGAAGGGCTGGCGCGGGCCCACTCTCGTTCGCCCCAGGGGCCGCCCTCTAGACCTCAATCCAGGCGCCTCCGCCAGGTGCTGATCCCTCCCGACCTCATGCCCTCCTCCTCCTCCTCCTCCTCCTCCTCCTCCTCCTCCCTCTCCTCCTCCTCCCTCTCCTCCTCCTCCTCCTCCTCCTCCTCCTCCTCCTCCTCCTTTCTGTACTTCGCTCGACGGATCGACGAGTCGCAATGTGACGGATTTCTGGGCATGCGGTGGCGTACGTGGCCCGCGCGTCGTGTCGTGTCTCGCGGGCTGCGCCCGCCGCTGCCCTCTTCTGCCGACCAGCGGTGGTCTACCGCAAGTGCCATCCCCTCCAAACACATGTCTTGGAAAGAAGCGGCAACATGTTACTTCCCCTGGCATTCCGCCTGCGGAACCGCCCTCCTTTACTCTCCGCTGGCTTTCACAAGCCCTCCGCTAGCTCCCGCCAAGGAAGAGGAGGTATCAATTCGATCCCTCGAGTGCAAAGGGGGTATCTTTTCTGGAGCGTCCCCAGCAAAGGGTTTGGCGTTCTGTC